ACAGTTCCAATTTTTCTCCCCATATTTCCTTGGAAATCCCTTTGTCCTTGAGATTGTCCTCAATGTGTTTTGCCGGTTTTACCTAAGCTTTTTCTTACACTTTTTCCTTACACCCATTTGGTAAAAAGTTGATGGTCATTTACTGATTTCTAGCAAGTGGATGAGTGAACCGTTCTGTTGTAATATATTCCCACATCAGTTTTTGAGACAGCTAGTTGTTGAAAACATCTTAAAGGATGTCGACTCAGTAAGTCAAGTATTAGTGCTAATGAGAAGAAAACTGTTTAGCTGCACTGGCCTTAAATGCCACAGAAAATAGTGAAACGTTGTCATGTTGACTGTGTGCTTACGACCCACGTCAGTGTAAACCCTAAAATCGACTAACGGGGAGTTTAACCCGTTTCCTCGAGTACCGTATGTGAAACTCTCAACGAAACTATTATTGTCAATGGTCCGTGAGATTTGCGTGGAACGATACCTAGCATGTGCGGCACGCAATGCCGGAGATATACTGATTTGCGCTGCTGATCGGGAACATGCTCTGTGAACTATAAAAAACCTTGGCTAATTCGGTGTACTCTGAGGAGCATCAGCCAGCATTGCAAGCTAGTGGGATTTCTTCCGCAGTATTCTGGAAATGGTTTTGGTTGGGTAGTATAACCCTACATAACTATTTGGGTTACATTGTGGTCTTCTAATTTGTTGGCAAGGAAAAAGATTGCAATACATTTTCTTTACCGGAAACCAGTAGCCCATCTCAAGCTTATTGTTACAGCAATCCTACTTTCTGTGCAGCCGAAATGCAGAGTGAGAGAATCAACCTAGCTTTACGAGATCCATCTCGCTGCTGAATGGTGTGCACCGTATCTGCACATCATCTAAGCAAACAGCGAGCGATTCCCACTGAACCAAGGTTTTCTGAATCCTCGGAAGTTCGACATTGACTGCCGCTAAATGGGACGCAGGGTGAAATCCTCTTACATTCTACAGTGCTGTTCCCAATTTGTAGCCACTTTTATCTTTTTCTACCCAGTTTAAGAAAGTTCTGTTTGAGTGGATCAAATATTTTCTACACTATTTGCTCAAATTATTATACTCTTTTTACCGAAAATGGAACTGAGTAGGTGCAGTGTGGTTTTCTCGTAAGGGAAGCCATTTCTATCCTGATATACACTACGGATTTGAAGACTTTGCTTTATATTTGATTCTCTGACTCGTTGATAATGCTTATCAGAAGACAAAACCCTGGATTCTATATCATTTGATGACGCCAGAAATATCTAGAGCATTATTTAAGAAGCACCCAACAGCGGAAAGCTTTACAGATGGGGCTGAAAATCCTCGCATACCGTGTATTTGCCGCGAAGTATAAAAATTTCATAAAGATGACGCGTTAGTACAGCCATAAGCGTAGCGTATACGGGTGGTCAACTACATATATAAATTATTTGTTTTTTTGTTGAAACACAAAATACATCATGTGGCATCGATCCCATTCAGTTTGATATCGCCTTTACAAATTTTGTGATCATTTCGTAAAAGGCCTTGTTTGTTGATGCAGTAACAGATCCACTCACCCAGTGGCAAAGGAACAAAATATATCAGAAAATGGATACTGCTGAATTTCCCTAACCACAGGAAGTACGGCAGCCCCAGATATCGTTGATTTTCGGTCACTATAGTGAATTAAACGTAATGTGTGTAATAAAAGGCTGGCAACAGCATAAAACTACCTTATTAGTCTCAGGAAACATTCTTCCCGCATAGGTTATAAGTTCATCGAATATTGTTGTTCAGGAAAATACTCCCAGAAGAACAGTAAAAATGTCTTCTTGCCAAAGTTGGCGAAGCCAACCTAGACCAATCAGTTTAGCACCATCGCCGTTGTAAATTAGAACCCAAATTGTAAACTGTAACGCTTTACTGGAAGTTTACGAATAAAAATCAACTAGAGGAACTGGTAGCAGTTATCTTGTCTTCGTAGAGGATAAAGTAGGTCTGAGTAATACAAGAGAGATTAGGTAACATTTCAAGCGATCCCTTTTAGAGGCATACATTGTCATGACGCCGATGGGCCGATTCTCCTATTAATCGAAAATCTGACTATGTGGTTGGGCTCAGCTGAATAACCTCATCGAAAATAAAATTGAAGTTCACCCTCAGCATGAAAATATCATTCACTGGCATTCACACAGATTCTTATTCCAAGGTGTTGTTTATGCGATAGATTTTTTTTACTCATTCAGTGCCAGCGAGCTCTGAAACCTAAGATTTCAAGCTTGTATATCAATTTAAAGAGTAGCTCCATCCGATAGTAAAATGAAATAAGTGAGCAAATAAATAAACGTGGTAGCTCATGTAGTACGGTCTACTTTGCTGCAAACTTTTTGTTTCCAGTCAGATGACATTTTCAGTAAGTTTTCAACGAATTCGCAAAGCTCAATGGGCAAATCATCCGCCAGCTTAAGCTGCTAGGTTATATTAGTGCCTTGCAAAAGATCCTGCATTGTACAGCGAGGTATACTCAAATGAAGAAATGGTATATGAGCGTCGCTTTCTCGAGTTCTGTATTGAAACACCCGTCTAGAACAAGCGGCTTTCAACAAGTCTTCCCACGAACGGATATTTAGCATCCAAGTGAAAAAACCGTGTTCCACTTTCTTGGATCGCTTGTACATCCTGAAATTTTTTTAAGTTCACCACAGAGCTCCAGATAAGGTCTGGATGTGGATTATGACTTCCTTCATATGCCAGCAGGGGGTTGTGTTCAACAACACTCGATGTGTACTCAAGCATTTATCGTATCGTTGTTTGTGATTGGCTTCGCTTTGAGCGGCAAACAGTTCCTAACGATAAATAGCAAATGATGCGTCTAAAGCTCTTTCCCTTGTCAACGTTTTTAATCACNGGGTCTTGTTACGAAACATACTGCAGACACTCATATGATCTGTTTCAAACTGCAGACTCGTGATTTGCATTTCTCGACTGAGCTGAAATTTATTATGTTCTGATACCTCGCTTGAGCGAAGTGAAGTAGATAGGAGAGATGAACTGTGGGCAAAAGTCACCCTGTTCTATATTGTTTTGGACCAAAATTTCGGATAAATATTTCCTGCTAGACTACTACAAGCCTCGTCTCCACACCAGATTCATATGATAAAACATTCAACAGCTTTAAGCGTTTTACAGCACAGAGGTTTTTCTAACCACCTGAGGTTGATGGTGAAAGAGGCCAGCTGGTCAACAAATACAACAAGTAAATCGTCCACCAAGCGGCTTCTATTAGCAGACACCACCCTTTATAAGCGAACACAGCTTACGGTAGATGAAATAGTGAAGGATATAACAGCATGCCTGGATCTCATTAATTTCTTTTTGAACACCGTGGTTTTCACTCAAGAACAGGGTTTAGCAACCTGCAAAATCCTCAAATCTGGCAAATATTTTATGGGAGATTTTGACGGGAAAGCTTTAGCCGGATTTCTATACCCACCTGGTATATTCCAGCGTTACGTAGATGACACTTACGTCGTCATTTGAATCCGCACATAAAATGTAGTATGGAGATATAGTTAACTTCGGGTACACTGCCTTCCGTATCCTGCATGACGGATAAGTTCTTGGAAAACTAAAGACCACAGTGTATGAGAAGCCAACTGGCACTATTGCGGGTTTGAACTACTCGTCTGCTTGTCCAAAGTCGGTATTTGCTAGTATTGCTTCATTATCGTACATTCAAGTAACAGCCATGTGCACAGAGGAGGTTGACCGGGAAGCGGCCCAAATGGAAGTAAGGAACAAACTTTGGGGTAGTGGATATCCAGCTAGTTCGACTAGATGCCAGTGACGAAGGGTGATGGTATTGGTAGCGAAACCAAACAGGGAACGGATTGAGACTGCTCTCATTCCACATAAACTAGGAACATCGAAAATCATTCAGAGGTTAACAAAAAAGTAACTCTCCACTGGGGAAACGCACTACGCCCTGCACTATAAGACAGACAGCCAGGGAGCTCCACACCAGAATCGGACAGCACAGGAGAGAAATTAGCAGGTCGTCGAGAAAAGCAGGTGTATATAAAGCGTTACCGAAAGACTCAGGAATGGCGGAACATGCATTGGATGCGGGATACAAAGTCGGTTCGAAAAATTTCGAATTTTTGAAACGCGGATCACGATCCACGCCACAGAGACTGATGATCGAGGCGGTGGAAATCGCAATGCATCCCAGTGTAAATAGAATGGAAGGCGTAGAACTGGCAAGTTTGTGGAGAACGCTTTTAGATCGGTCTAACTGACACGTATTAGATAAAGCAGGCATTACCAGACGTAGCTTAGATCGGAAATGTACTTGATCCCACCCAAGTGAGTTGTCGTAGCTCGCACAAGATCACACAAACCAACAAAATCTACCAGTGACACCTCAAGTGAATAATCAGTTGAAGCACCTTTAAGTGGAAGATTAAAAAAATCAAAACCGGTCAAAAATAATTAAGAATTCCACCAACGCATCAACCGTAAGATTAAGGCCACCACACAAACTGACAAAACTCTAACTGACATTCAACACTGATGTAGTGTGCCAATCTGAAGAGGTTTTACTGATTGGTTCTCCGTCTGCCTTAAAACCTGGCCAAATCGGTGACCTATTCACTTGGCCTTATGAAACTCTTGTGTCAAAAGCGAAACGTTGCACAGTTAAAAACTACCGATTGTTTACCAAGCCCTTCTGAATCGCAGTGACCACCTTTAGTCAGTGACTTAAGTTCGTATCTTGGTGGTAGTTTGGGCAGACGCTGCTTCAACGCCAGTGTGTGCGTACGAGATGTTCTGTCAGTGAACCAATCAAAATGTTCCGTCGTCGCTGGATCTTATTGGTCGATGTATCCCATCATCGCAGGTTGCCGAGCCTTGCATAACGTGACGTCAGAACGACCGCAAAGTATGTAAGACAGCTGATTAAAGCTGTCTGTTCGCAAGGTGGATCAACCGGCGAGGGTATGTGGATCAAACTCCGGAAACCCAATGTTAGACGTTCACCATTCTTCGTAATCGTATGTTTCTTCCTTTACAAAACCACAGAAACATTGCTCCAGGCAGCAACCCGAATCCACATATATTCAACTGCTTGTTCAGCCCTGGTGAATGCCTCCATCGACGGAAATTTGTGTCAGGACAATAAGCACAAGGACTATCAGTTTACCAAAGAAAATGATTCTGACTTTCTCGTAGAAGTGAACGTAAATCAAACGAATGAGCCCGCAGTGCTACACTTTCTATCCAAAGAGATTGAAATTCAGCGACTAGCAGGACTGTTACTGATTTTCTACCGGGTATTGTTCAACTTACCAGCAACCATAACTTGCCTGCTCTATGGTTCGTTATCTAACAAAATTGGACGGAAATGGGCGATGCTGATTCCCTCTTTTGGAGCCATGATGGCCTGTGGGTGGTTTGCCTGCAGTCTCGTTCCTCATCTGATGCCAATTCCTGAGGCAATCAGTTTCCTCCTAGTTGGTGCTCTCAGCTATGGCATCTGTGGGAAGAGCAATGCAATGAGTATGGGTGCTAACAGCTACATAACAGACTTGAGTAACACCAAGGAACGGACAAAGCTATTGGGACAACTGCTAGGGGTCAACTGTTTTGGCTTGTGCATTGGTTCTGGCCTTCTGGCGCTATTTTATCGATACCAAGGGTATGCGGAGATTCTCATGTTTGCAGCTAGTATCAACGGTCTCCTCACGCTATTATTCATTTTTGTGGTGCAAGAATCCCGTGAGATTACCACTCGACCGATACTACAGGCCAAACGATCCAAACCCAACACGATGGAAAACGGGTTAGGTACCCGTTCCAGAGACATCGCCAATCCCGAGAGTGATGACCTAGATCGACATACAGGCAATTACTGCATGAAAATTATTCACGTCTTGAAACATTCCTACGTTTTTCTCTTCAAAAAACGAGAAAATGACATGCGTGCCGTGCTTTTGATCCTATTTGGATCGGTTCTGTTTAACCAGATGACCAAGTCAGGCGAACAAGATGCCATTCTTTTGTTTGTGACCAACAAACCTTTCCGTTGGGGGCCCGAAACCTACGGTTACTATTTGACTGTCTACTACGGATGTATGGCTACCCTACTGACTTTCATACTCCCTATCATAGAGGCTAAAATTTGTCCACGTGATACTACTCTCATTGTGATTGGAATGACGATGAAAATCGCACGCCTCCTCTCGATGGGACTGTCAGAGAGTACTGTGCTCATCTTTGTGGCAGCTGTTGCAGGGTCTGCTGCTGGGTTTATCAGTTCCGGAGCTCGATCTTTGATCAGCAAACTTGTGAACGATGATGACGTGGGTGCTAGCTTCGCTATCGTATCCTGCATGGAGACTGTGGCCAACCTATTTGGTGGAAGCCTGTTCACGGCTATTTACAACTTGACCATAACTGTGTTCCCGGGAGCAGTGTTTATAATCGACGCCATTCTTCACTCTGGCATGCTTGGTGGGTTCATTTGGCTGAGGTACAAAATTGCCGAGTTCGAAGCAAAAAGTGGTTCGACCGAGGTGGTAAGATGAGTGCTGATTGGTTTTATAATCACGCGTGTGAACATAATTTCAATGTTTACTGAACAAACTAACATACCGACTTGGTCCATCGTGCCCCCCTCCCATACTCAGCCAGCGGACGTTTCTGACTCATTCCATTCTGCCACAGCAACTACCCTCACAACCATTCTCATGTCTTTCTCATCAAAACCTATCAGATAACGGATACAGTTTCCAGATTCATCGCTGTTTTTTTCTACAGGGTGTGAGTGCTTTTTTTCTAATCTAGCTCTAGTACCTGTGCTAATTCCGTAACTCCAACCCATTTTTGTTCTGGAGAGTCTGATCGACTTTGATACACACCGTCCTCTGAGATGGCCTTCTAATTGGCTGACTGAAAAGCTGAGTAATACGTCGTTGTTTGACAGAGCGAAAATCAGAACTACCGCTCCTCTGTCCAACAACTTGTAACCCTATTTGTACTCAATCTTATTTGCATAGGAAACTAAGGACTGAATGGTGAGGTTTCTGGTCTTAAGTCCAAGAATGCCATGTTAAATATCACGCAAGAATTAAAAAAGCTGTGTGCGTCAGTTGTGCCTCTTTCTGAGATGCAACCAGTCATCAACCGACCAAATGATCTCAACTGCGTGAGTAAAGTTCGCTTCACCTGGTTGCGAATTTTTCATTACACTAATTCCAAGGTTAAAAAAATTATGATGAAACCTCCATCCAAAAGTTTGTGGTTTAGAGTGGCGCGCAGTGGTAAATCTTCCAGAAAGTGGTTCCCAGAGTAGTAGGATAAATCGGTCTCGTATGCAAGACAAAATCATCCTGAGGAACTTCAGCATTTTGCACTTTCTACAAAACAGGCGGTTTCTTTTTAACCATAAGCAGACGTGTCCTGGAGAAGATCAAGGTCTGAATAAGTGCATTTTATTGAAATTGAAGTCGAATATTCGTGGTACTTTCAGCGCTTAACATTTCGAAGCCATTCTCATTTATCTTTCAAATAGTTGACCAGGCAGCACTGCGAGAAGGCAAACCAGAGCTAAATGTAAAGAGGAGAACCGCCTCCTTGAGGAGTACCCCAAATACGGTAAACGTGATTGGCAAAAATCGTCAGTCTCCAAAGGTTGATGTGCTTTTCTGAACCAGCTAAGTAACGTCCGTACATACTCGTATTGTTTGCTACGAATAACTAGTTACACCTTAGCTTGTGAACTACAAGCTGAGACAAAGCCAGTCGAAACCAATTTTTGCAGTTCTCAAGGCAAGTCGTAAAACTCAGTTGAAAAATGTAAGTTCCGTATGAGTTTGGTCGAAGTATCTACCATCGAAGAACATGGGCCATTGTGTATCAGGGTGCATTAGAAACTATTCAGTAAATCAGTCATTTAAAACCTACATGATAATCTAGATGATAAACAGCACGAAGTTTTCTTTCTCAGGAGACGGACGTTCTATGCCCATCCACCACTGAAGATGGAAATAAATACCGTAAAACATCATGCCTTACTGCTCCAATTCTTAATCATTGCGAAGACTTAGTAACAACTTCGATGTACCTCAAAAGTCCACTTTTTTGTTGCCTCAGTCCGTTCAACCAGGTCCAGTTAATCATGCGGGAAACAAGAGCGTTCACCTATGCTTTCCAAAAATCTGCTGTTATCCACTGCTGAAGTATTAAAATCTGATCACTGTTCACGAAGATCTTTAGACGCTTTGAAAACAAGTCCTTTGTATATTTGTCATACGTTACGCGCTACCGGTCACATACCTCGATATTGTACACCTTTGTACCTATAGCTGCTCATCATACATGACAACTGTCAGTGAGCTTGGTTTAGCCTCCACCGGTTCACGTGGTACACGTGACTCCACACTAACCGGAAATAAACAGCTCTCGAAAAGATCATTTCAGACCTTCCTAGTGAAACCGGGTCAAATCTGGTGTCCAGTGTGTAATGCAGTGGTAAGACTTTTGAAATTACGCCGTGATCTCGAGTAAGCATAGAGCAAACTGTGTAAAATACGTTTGACAAAAAGTCAACAAATAACTTCGATCAATGCAGTAGTTTGGCTTCTTCGAAAGTGAAAAATTACCCTCCTGTTGTCTAAACAGAAAACCTAGAAACTGACGTGGAAAGTTTATCGATGTTCGAAATTTTTATTCAGTTGTTACGGACATCTCCAGGAAGTATACTAAATACTAAAAGACGAAAATTTAGTGGGAAAACGGACGACAACCGTTTGAAACTTACAGTCAAAGTATGCTTGGATTCTAAACATTTTTGTATTGATTAAGAGTAACCTTAAGGAGTTACGTTATCTAATATTAGATTTCAAATCCGTATGCCTTGGGACGAGCCTTGAACAATCCGAAAACGGTGACCTATCGGTTAAGTTTGATTGAGCTCACTGTGTTACATAGGAAGTAACTCTTGGTATTTCTCACAAAACGCATACACTCTTGGACTCCGTTAGGAGCCATTATGAAAGTTGTCTTTCCAGCGGCAAAGCTAGTGTTCTTCTGCATTAAGAACTTTAATTTCTTAGTTTTCAATTTCACGCTTCTCAGCGTTTAATGTTGTTGATTAATTGATTGATTGCGGTTTATTGCCCCCGTACTGCTGACTGTGACTGTTGTTGAAACATTCCCCCCACCATTTCCCCCCTACATTCCTAACTTATTTGGGGCTTAAGGCGATTTAATTTGTCACTTAACTAATTTAGCGCGTTTTTTATACTTGTAGAGAAACCAAATCACACAATCATATGGCCTTGTCACTGCAATGGAAGGGGCAGCAGATAGAAGTCATGCACTGGTTGTGGAAAAAAAGCGTCAAATGAAAATGTGCTTATGGGATCGGTGACTGTGGTTGTTTCATGGTACGATCTTTTGTGAAACTAATTTTTCTGTCAGGAATCTATCCGTAAATATCTACACAACCTTCTGTCGTCTGCCAGACTGTTTAGGCTTTCAATGCAGTTTTGGGGGATCAAATCCAGTAGGAACGCTCACAGTAAGTTACTGCAATGGATTGCTTATGCGACGGAATAAATTTGTGATCCATCATTTGATTGAGAGTTGCATCCATTCTCATAGTACTGAGTTTGCAAGTCTTGAAGAGATCATCCGGTTCTAAGGTGTTTTTTGCTGGAATTCACTTGTACTTCTGCTCTTTTTTTCTGGCTAAAGTATGTCCAACAATGACCAAAAATTTTATAACCCCACTTTTAATCCAGCGCACAATACAAAGCCTGTTCCGACGGATACTGAAACTGGGCCCATAAAAACCTTTACTTGTCATTGAATAATGCTCGGTGCGAGCATTTCCTTTATGTAATATGCGGTAACTCGGGCTCAGATGGGGTAAATTATTTTTACTTTCATCGTGGGGCTTCGATCTACCGCTGCGATGGATTACATTAACTAGCTTGCTCAGTTCTGAGTGCACCTGATTGATGCAACACACTCTAACTGTATCAGATACTGAGGTTGATTTCACACATCGGCCTGTGCTTTTCGAAGCTTACACCAGTCCATGCTGATTCGTTCAGCTGGGCACAATGTGTTCTGCGGTATTCCAAATTTGTTGTACTGATGATGAAATCCGGATAAATCTTCCAGTGGAAGCGAACACTGAGGTGAATGACTTGCGAAGTCTTTCATGGGTACAGTGAACTCACACAAGGATAAGCTTCACCTGCTTCCAGTCATTTAAAATTGTGTATGCAAAGTGCAATCAGGATCGTTTTAATGCAGCATGGGGTAGAACATTTAGGAGATAAAGTGGTGAAACAGCGAGCTTATTTTTGTGTGAGTTCGGTGTCGAAGAACGTGATTATTAGAACCATTAGTGGAAATAAGAGTTGTGCCCAAAACAGGACAAATGGTCAGATCTAAAACCGCGACGTGTCGACAGGCACACAAGGCATGGTTGGTTTCGCTTGACCCAGGCAACCGAAAATTCGGATTTTTTTGCTTTGCATGCTTACCGATATGTTGATCAGTAAAATGCAACCATAAAAGCAGCAAGAACGATTTGCTTCATGTTTTGGTACGCAAAAATTCATTGTCTCCTTTCGGTTTTATCCACTCGTTTTTGAAGGAGATTCCCGCAACTTTTGTGCTGCATGGAAAAACCAATTTTCTAATGGTTATATGTGGCATCAGAAAATATCTCGTAAAAATTCAGTGACTGGTGAAGCAGAATCTTTACTTTGAATATTGCGGTGAAACACAATCATAATCATTGTCTGGGATATTGTCGCTTGCTTGGTTCGCTCTATTTACCCAACAGACTCAGCCGACTTTTTGCACATCGGTTGAGCATGGACTAAAATTGCTTTACAAACTAAGTCAGTGGTTTTCAACCCGGATAACCCTAATACTGGGACATTGATCGTCAGTCCGGCTCTCCCGGCTGTTTGGCCAGTCTATACACACTTCTACTGATGTAAAATTTCTGGTTTGGTTTTCGAGTGCGTACCAATACCGATCTGCTTTTCATAGCAAGTTCTCATGTGTAACCTGTTTACCAAGACTCTGTCTGGAGCCAATCGGTTGAATCCAGCGCGGACAAAAGGGCAACGAACTACCGAAATTCCGGGTTATCCCGTGTTCACGTACCAATAGTCTCACCAGTGTTCTTAGTTGATTCGTCACACCATATTTATGCGGTTCAGGTAGACTCTCAAACCTTAACTTGCATGTGTTACCAATATATAAAAGACAACGAACTGAAAAACCTTCCTTTTCCTGATGCAATCGTTTTGTTGGATCGACAGTGAAAAAGGAAATCATTGGATTCGAGTTTCGTTGACAACAGCATCTACCGACCGATACAGCTCGCAAATAGATCGGTTGCTCACTCGGGGTGATGAGCAGATAAACTGTGTCGCTTAAATGTGAAACGTCCAACTGTTCAGACGATGATTTATACAAGTTTAGCTTGCTGAGTTCCAATATTAGGTGTCCAAGACTGTCCGCTATTCCTTAATGACTGATACCTGGTTCGTTTGAT